CGAGTATATTAATGTTGGCCATTAAAAGAGAAGCATAATATTAAGTTAAGTGTTGCTGAGATGAGGATGCTCAGGCGGATGAGTGGCTTTACTCTTAGAGACAGGATACGAAATGAGCATATATGTGAATAGGTTGGAGTAGCTCCAGTAGAAGATAAGATTAGAGAGAGCCGCCTAAGATGGTTTGGTCGCATAAAAAGGCAGCCTTCCAATGACCCTGTTAGGAAAGTAGAGGTATTAGATTTGACTTATGTTAAGAGGTAGACCTAAAAATACTTGGTTAGAAAACATTAGAAATAATATTTCTTTATTAGATTTAAATGAGAATTTAACTTTTAATAGGGCACAATGGAGAAAAATGATTCATGTAGCCGGCCCCACATAATGGGATAATGGCTTAATGTTGTTGTTGTAAGAGTATGACAAAGAATTAAGGAAGTGATTGAGTAGAGTATCAAGAAGGGAATGGGTGTAGATCTCTTTCTCTTACTCTCTCTCCGTAGTCCTTCATGACCCCTCAGTCTCAGTCGATGGATTTCCATGCACATCTTTGTTGCATGAAGGGGGTTTCTCTCTCAATGGGAGCAGTCTCCCTTTCTAACGACAGTTTCTGAGTTTCTACTTTTCTCCGGAATGTGCATGAGAATGTAGAGTCCTTACCCAACCAGTGTTTGGATCCCTTAAATCATAAAAGTGGTGCAGGAATTAGAATAACCCACCTCATACATTTTCCAATTCCTGTTGTTTAATTGAAACGTTCAACTGACATATACTTCATATTAAGCTGCAATGTAGGGGTGAGAAAAATGGGAGTGTGAGGCTTGTTGCCGAGCTGTTGGACATGTGGGATCTATGGTGCTTATTCTTTCTCTCTTTTCTTATGCTGAATTACTTATTATAATATGTATTTCTATACCTTAATTACTTTTTTTTTAAAGTATACCTAAATTACTTGCGTATTATGTTTATGCCACTTTGCATTCTTATTAAATTTTTTTGCCTGCATTATTTACAAGACTTTCATTCTTTATAATGCGTATTTATCAACCTTTTAATCTCAACTATTCATGGAATATATTTATTTTCTTTTCAGCTTGTTGAATGCCCTTCTATTTATGAGATGCTGCCCAATCCTGGATTCAAATGGAAAGAACAACCTTTGATTCTGGTCTGGAGAAAATATACTGAGGGTGATGAGTCAGTCAAGTTGGAGGTGTACAATTCAGTGGATTGCTTGGATTTGTTTAGAGGAGCTTTAAGAGATAATGAGGTAACTATATTATGCTTACATATCTTATCGGTGAGGGTAAGATATTGACAAGGAAAGCTATATTTATTTCAAGCAGCTTAACAATTTAAGTTGTCTTTTATTGATATTTAAACGTTGATCTGAGCTATGTTAAGTTCTTTACCACACAAGGGATTGCACTATCATATCTTTGGTAGCTGCAATAATGAAATTTCTACGAAAAGTCAGTTTCTGCTTAACTGGATATTTTCTTCAAAGAGGTTTCCCTTTTACCATGAAGGATGCATTTTTTATTTCTACTGTTATTGTAGGGGAAAACCCTAGTTCTAATGCATACCTTATCCTCCCCTTGGCTTCCCCTTCGATTCCCCTAAGATTCCTCACCGGAAAAAGCCACCGGAGCCGCCGCTCAAGACCTTGCCCGTCGCCTCTCCCGTCGCCTCTCTTCCGCTCTCTCTCGGTTTGGCCGAAAGATATGAGGGAGAGGGGGTTCGGTTTGGCCTAATAGAGAGGAAAGAGTTTGCTAAATGACCCCCATGCCCTCACTTAAGTAACCCATGCAAGAATAAGGAGTGGTGGTACTTTTGGTATTAAGAGTTTTCAAGAAATTATAAATCCTAAACTAAGCGAAATCAAATACAAGTTTCATATACCAATTTGATCAGAATTTTGCGCTCTATTTTGTAAAATTAACTTCGCCAAAATCCGACGACCTCTATTTTTTCTCTTAAATCTCGCCGCGACGCTTTGAAAAGCGTGCGAGGTCAAAAACGTCATTTGCGGGTTTTACATATTTGCAACTTTTTGGATTTGTCCACAACTTGATGGACTAACCCATGACTCGTTATATTCAACCTAGTATCTCTCTTGCTAGGCCTACCCACATTATGCACCAGCTCATATGCTCACTCTCTTCACTTCTTACACTTGATCACACTATCCCTATGGCTTTGAACTTGTACCTACTAGATTGAGCTCTTAATAAGCTCCTAACTTATGCATCTTTTATGGTTTAAGATACTTCTCATATTATCCTATCTTCTCCAATGGTGTCATGGCATCCACTTCTATCTCAATGATTCAAACTTCTCCAACATTGATATCAACATCAAATTTATTGATACTAGTTATCTCTGATGGTTGAGGGTCTTTGATTCTTGAGCCATGAGATCATATCATAAACTATTGACTACCATCTTAGGAAAATTTCAAATACATCTTTTACCATAGCATTAAATAGCTCTAATTCATGCTAAAATTTCTATTAAATCAAAATGATTACCTTACTAAAACTCCCTTTGAAATTCTTCTTTCCTCCATCGCCAAACCAAAGTCTATATCACTTGGATTCTTCCAATATAAAATAAAAACATATTTCTTATTATTTAGTCAATGAAAGAAATGAGAAATGAAAGCATATGATCTCAACTAAATCACTTCTTTTCCTTGAGAAGGAATTCCAAAGCCCAAATTCTTCTTCTTCTTTCTCTCCTAATTTCTTTCTCTTTCTCTCTTAACTCCTCCTACCTTCTTTTAAGATGATAAATTATTTCATAAGATTAATTCATAGAAGAAAATATAGAAAAATGCATAAATTGTGAAAACCTACCTTCTTCTCTTTCTTCTCTCTCACTCTCGTTTGGTCTTCGTTCAATATCCGATCATTTATTTCCAAAGGAACGAGTGAAACGAGCATATAACTCATGAGGAGTAGTTATTTTCCTCCCACGTACGCGATCGTTCGCTCAGAATCGCAAACTGAACTATCCAGAAACACCCACGCTCACGTTCAGCCCGCTCCAGTCGCGTTTGTGCCCGCTCGGTTCCGCCTCTGCTTGTTTTCCTATTAATTAATTGGGTTGGCCAGTTTAACTGGCGGTTGAACCGGCCAGTACTTAAACCGGTTATTACAATTATGCCCATCATAAAAATGCATTAGTCATCTAGTAAATGCATGATGCAAAATGCGCTAAAAAGTACATGTCGCATGGGCCTCATTGAGTGTGACATATATATACATGAAGAATGGGATTGCCATAGGAGATTTCGTTGCGTAAGGAGGTCCATCTGCTAAGTCGTGGACGATGGTCTAGAGGGAAGTCAAGACTTGCAGCTTACCCGTGCACACTTGAGCAAAAGTCTGGAGGGAAGTATAAATGATAAAGAAGCTTACACAGGAAGCACTAATCACTCAATGGAGAGTAGAAGCTATCAACCTCAGTATTCTTCGTGTGATGATTGAAAAATATCCAAACTCATGAATAAACTTGCTCTCTAAATAATCATGAATAGATTTAACTCTTAATTTTAAAGATTATCATTATGATTGGTACTTAGTCGAGTTCATATGAGTCAGCATCAATTTAGATTAAAACAAATTGATATTGAGTTAAACTAAAATTGAGTGGGCTAACAATGATCGATTTCAGCTCTATTTTTGAGTTGATTCTAGCACTGCTTCTTAATTTTACAATTTTAATTATATATATTATGGTTTAGGGATCTATATATATATTATGGTTTGTGGATCAAAATAATGCCTCAAAATAGTCGGGAGATTTTTTGGACATTTCCTCATTTACTATAGGATTCATGAAGTAATGAACATTCCGACTCCACTAATATAAGTTAATGGCATGAATGTCCAAATGCCAAATGATCATCTTAAACCTGTCAAATATTAAGATGGCAAATAAGGGCGATCACATGAAAAAATATTGATGTTAATTATAATTGTGTCACCAAAATCTATAGCTGTGATGGAAGGCATGAAATGACAACTAAACAAGATTTAACGTGGTAAACACAATGCTCGACTGAAATAGATATCTCACATTCTGTATATCCTCCAAATTCATTTTCAAGCATTAGTGTTGGCGTAATAATTATTCTCCCTTGAACTTCAAATGCCATCTAATGAAGCTGTTAATGAAGAAATTTTATTGTCAGAATTGACAAACATATTTATGTAATTTCATGTTTTTTCCCCTTGTATTTCATGTTGGGCGCAGTTTAACAAGCATATCCTGATCGCATTCTTCAACTTGAACTGATTTGATTTATTTATTTATTTGTGGGGAAAAGGTGGGGGTGGGGTTGGTGGGTCTATAGGTTTAAGTTTTTGCTATCATCTCTCTCTGTTTCTTATTTTTCTTGTTTTTTGTTTCCCATTTATTCTCTAATGAATGGTATCTGAGCAAGCATGATATCTAACTTCTTTTAATTTTCTTGGCAGCTTACATATAATGGAAAATCGGTTGCTCTTCCTTTCAATCTTTCAATCCTTAAGTGGGCGGCTGGTACCAGGCAAATGCTTGACAATGCACAGCTACCAGACAGTGTTGACTTCTATAATATATATGGAATATCTTATGACACTCCACACAATGTTTGGTATGCTAACTGACGTAGGCAATCGTCTTTTTATTACCTAATGCCTCCTTGCTTTGTCTGACAATGCTATTAATGCCAATGATTGTAGAATGGATGTTTTTTTTAATATCAACTGATTTTTAATTTAACTAGACTCAAATAAGTTCTGCCACTGGCTTTATTCATTTTTGTTGTTATGCACATTTAATTGTTGGTTCCATAATTCTCTGGTAGAGCTTGGTTAGTAGCTTTCTAGGCCATGAAAATCGCATAGGTCTTACAAGAACACTTGACATATAACTTGACTATGCTCTTCTACTATATTTGTGTACTAATTTTATTGGAAAAGATTTTTTTTTTCTTTACATAATCTTCCATGAGGACTACAGGTATACTTATCATTCTCTCTTACGATAATAACTCAGAAGCCAATTCACACATCTATAATCATTGTCACGACCCGGCTCGACTAGCCCAAATTAACGGGGTGAGAACAGTCAGTCGTACAGAAAATACATATAAACCATAAACAATTTCATTTACTCTTATAACAGGACAAACATCATCAATCACATTATAAGAAAGAGCCACTAAAAACTTCAACTAAAAGTGTTTCAATTTGTTTCTTCTAAATCACAATAATTAAAAACATAAACATCAACATTTACATAAACTACAACAAACTTCTCAGATACAAACCACTAACTTAAACTCATAACAGAAAATAGAAAATCTTTTTTCCTGAGGTCCTCTACGACGGTAGGTGTACTGCCATCTTGTTGCAATCACTTTCTATATGGTTCTCCTAAAAAAGATTCCCATAAGTAGGGATGAGTTTACTCGCTCAGCAGGTAATTCATATTTTTCATAAAAAATTGCATAAAACTAAAATAAAACATTATTTCATAATAAAACATTAAACGACGGTCAAACTTGCATAAGTTCATAACATTATTTATAAGAAACATTTTTCATAAAATTTCCTCAATCATAAACCTTCACTTAATGTTTTTCCTCAAACACCAACTTTCATATTGCACAACAAACATATATAAATCATATTATACATAATGTTTATTATATCACCCAATTTGCACTGCCAGAATTCTTTCTTCTCAAAACATCTGCAACCACATTTGCTTTACCAGGATGATACTGAATGTCCAACTCATAATCCTTAATGAGTTCTAGCCACCTTCTTTGCCTTAGATTTAGTTCTTTCTGTGTGAAGATATACTTCAAACTCTGATGGTCAGTAAAAACTTCAAACCGTACCCCGTACAAGCAATGCCTCCAAATCTTTAAAGCAAAAACTACTCCAGCTAATTCCAGATCGTGGGTTGGATAATTCATTTCATGATTCTTCAATTGCATAGAAGCATAGGCAATCACTCTTCCATTCTGCATTAGTACACAATCCAACATTTTATGCGAGGCATCACTATAGAGCTAAAATCCATCTGATCCTGAGGGAATAGTCAGCATTGGAGCAGTTATCAAACACTGCTTTAACCTTTGAAAAGCTTCCTTACACTGAGCTGTCCATTCAAACTTCACTGCTTTCTCAGTCAATCTGGATAGTGGCATAGCTATCTGTGAAAACCCCTCAACAAACCTTCTGTAGTAGCCTGCCAATCCCAAAAAGCTCCTAACCTCAATAACTATAGTTGTTCTTGGTCAATCTGCTATTGATTGCACCTTATGCTAATCCACAGATATCTTTCCATCAGTGTTCACGTCCCAAAAATTTTACACTCCTTAGCCAAACTCACATTTGGAGAACTTAGCATACAATCCATTTCCTCTCAATGCCTGTAATATAACCCTTAAATGATTTGCATGCATCTCTTTATCTAGAGAGTAAACAAGTATGCCATCTATGAATACTATCACGAATAGATCTAAAAATGGCTTAAATATTTTATTCATGAGATCCATAAACACTGCAGGAGCATTTGTCAAACCAAAAGGCATAACTACAAACTCATAATGCCCATATCTGGTACTAAAAGTGGGCTTTGCTATGTATTCCTCTCTAATCTTGAGCTGATGATATCCTGGCCTCAAATCAATCTTTGAAAATACTGAAGCACCTTCCAACTAATCAAACAAATCATTTATTCTTGGGAGAGGATACTTATTCTTCACTGTCAACATGTTCAACTCTCTGTAATCTATACAGAGACTTAGACTTTCATCTTTTTTTTTTCACAAAAAGAACTGAAGCACCCCAAGGGAAGGTATTAGGCCTGATGAATCCCTTCTCAAGCAACTCTTGCAGTTGTTCCTTCAACTCCTTAAGTTCTTTTATTATCATTTTGTAAGGAGCTTTAACAACAGGTTCAACTCCTGTCATTAATTCAAAAGAGAAATCTATTTTGTCTACTCGGAGGTATGTCAAGTAATCATCTGAAAATACTTCTGAGAATTCCTGCACAATTGGGATGTCTTTCAGTTCTCTTTCTGCCTTCTTCTCATCCTTAACATAGGCCAAGAAACCTCCATATCCTTTATTCAACATCTATAAAGCCTTCAGAGATGATACAATCACAACTATTATCTCTTTATCCCCTTGAAATTTGAATTTTCTCTCTCTTGGCATACAAAACTTATTCTCTTTTTTGTTACAATCTATAGTCACAAAATGACAAGATAACCAATCCATGCCTAAGATTATATCAAATTCAGACAATGGCAAAATAATCAAATATGCTTTTAAGTTCTCATCACTTATTCTCAAGTTCACATGACAACTCCTATCTGTTCATCTCAGGTAAAATGCTCGTGTCATTGTTTTATCATTTAATCTTCTCCTATTCTGCTTTGTTCTTTTCTTGTACCATCCAAATAGAACTTGGATAAACATTTTTTGTAACGATTCCATCACGATTAAAGTTTGTGTGTGTAATACACTTCATCATTGTCACGGGGGACAGTAGAAAGATTATATGCTAGTTGTTATTTATTATGTTTATATGTTCATTTGGTTGTTATTCCCCCGTAGAAGTTGACTAATTTCCTGACAATGCTTGCCTTCCTAATTATTAGCTTTCTGGTTTCTACTAGCATCTCCTGGACAATAGCAGACCATATGATTCTCCGTATTAATTTTGGTGCAAAATACTTCCACAAAATGCTCTTGAAGAAATTTCATCGATTATTTATCATTTCTATTTTATTAGCCTCCTATGGGAAGCACGAGTGGACCCCTCTTGTTTCCTTACATGCTTTTATACTGAAGGTCCTTTCTTTTCTTGACTGTTACTGCAACAAATCATAGTAAGCTAAATATTTGAACATCATTAAGCATCTTTAGAATTATTTTACAACTTTAAAATAAAAGCTTTATGTGTCTGTCCATTTTTGTTACAGCTATGGATCTGAAGCATCTCCTATTGATGACCTGCCAGAAATATGCCATACGATGGTATGTTTCTCAAAGGATGAACATTTCGTTCATTTGTTAACCTCCCTATTCTCATTCATCTCTCAATGAGTAAAGTGTGATCTCTTGTTTTTTTAGCCTGAATACTCGTATGTTGATGGAGACGGAACAGTTCCTTCTGAGTCAGCAGAGGTAAGCTGTCACATTCTAATCTGAATATTCAAATAAGTGTGGCATTTGAACAAAATTGACCAGTAACCTACAGTAATATGCAATTTTTTTTCTTTTTCTGGCAAACATTTATTTGAATTTCATTGTTAAGGAAATTCAAATATTGCATGATTTTATGTTATTTCTATTAAACAATATTGTGAGCTAGAGGCCAAAGACCTAATTGAAGTCTCAACACACTAAGAGGAGGGGTTTAGTAAGTTGAGCGTGCAACACGTTTGAAAACATAATTAAAAACTTCTAAACTTTGAGTGAAATCTTGAGGTGCGACTCCTAGTCACTCTCACATCTACAAACTACCACCCCAAATGCAACAGTTGGACTGCCATCTGATAAAATTCATCAAAAGTACATAAGTTGCAAAAAAGTAAAGCATTCAAATAGCAACTACCTTAACAGGTTTCTCTATCGGGCAATGGAGGTGAGAAGAGTGACAATATTTACACCATTATGATGAGTAGAAGGAGGTTTGGCATATCCACTGAGCTAAGGTAATGAAAGGACGATCAAAAAATATATGTGTGTCATAATAATAGCCAAACTACTCAAACGAAATTACAATAAAGTAAATATGTAAGAAAATAAATGTGAAAATAAAAGAATGCAAACATAATTTTAGAGTGGTTTGATCAAATTGATTTATGTCTACTCTCTGAAGTCCTCTTCTTTGGGTATCACACTAAAAACATAGTGACTCTCCTTCAACAGCTCCCACGGTTAGGCTAAGAAGCCCTTACATAAGCACTTCAGTAACATGGTGAGATGGAGTAGCTGGATCCCTTTCACCATAGTGTGTGGCAGAGTAGAAGGAATCAGTTTCACCTTCCTAGTGCGGCAGAGTAGCCCTAATTATCTTTACCCTCCTGATGCAGTGGAGTACCTAGAATCACTTTCTCTCTCTCAGTGTGGTGCAATAGTCAAGGGAACTTTGACACCAAAGAGGTCTTCCTAAAGGTTTCCTCAAGATGAATAATGACACAGAGGAGTTTAAGTTCATGTTGGCTAGAGTAACCATGTGAAATTCCCTCTAACACTCCCTTAACACCCAAAAGGATCTTCTCCCTCTGTCACAACCCACTTGATCTCTCCTCTTGCTTAAAGCCCTCTCTTGAATGCTCAATCACATAAGCTTCAAATATCTAACTTCCATAAGACATCTATAAAGTTTATTAAGAAAGCTTAAAAAATTAGATTTCATAAACCTTAATAATTCAATTCTACCGACTCTATTTATGCAATATAATTAGTTGAATTCTCTCATTATTAGTATTGTAAGATGACTAGTAGTACATTATGATAATTTAATTTCTTCACTTATAGTACTGAATGAATGAATATTAATACAGTATAATTTGTTCAAATCAAAATTCAAATCATATAAGATGAACTAAACATCATCTGGAGTATCCTCAGGTGATTCATATAGTATAATCTATAATCAAACAATATAATCTATAATTAATGCATACCCAATTTAATTCCTTAATTACCTTACATAAATTATGTAATAGTTTAAAAGATCATACAATATGAATAGGTTTAGATAATATAAATAGTTCAATTTTTAAAATCAAATTTACCTATTTTAGGTATATTAGATTTGATGGCGGGGTTTCTAGTTATAGTTGATTGTCTAGCAGATGTGGCATCATACAGTATAATTAGTTATAATTCAACTTATATTATTATTATTTTTATTTAAATTTAAAACTTCAATTAGTTTCTATTTCATTTGATCATACAATAAAATATGAATTATATAATATAATTAAGAGAAAAAAATAAAATATTTAATTTTTAGCTCGCCTTATGTGTGTGTGTGTGCATAGTTACTAAACTAACATACACCTTTTATATACATTGACTCATAACAAATAAAATTATAGAATCTTCCAAATAAGTCTAACCTATACAACACATTCTTGAGCACTGGTTCATTGGTGGTCTTTGTGTATAATGAATCTGAAATGTTAGTGATGCATATAGAAAAAAATATATGCTATTGTTGTCCTATTTTTTTGAGTTAGACCAATTCTCTAAATAAAAAATACAATCTCAACAAAAAAAATTATTGAGCTACATTCCAAACTTTAAATTTAACTCATTATTACACTTTGGTATAGTGATCACATCGTTGACCCCAAAAATCATCACTTGGCATTCATCATTGATTGTTAGTTGATCATCTAATCCATCACTAGATAGTCACTAAATAATTGTCAGTGATATGAGTTAAATTTCTTAACTAATCATATAGTACTAAATTATTTATACAACATAAAAAATATAAATCATGATATTATGATCATTCTGGATGAACGAAATATCATCCAGAGGCCCTCACGTGAGTCGTATAGTAAGATTTATGATCATACTAGATGAACCAAATGTCATGTAGAGAGTCCTCAGGTGATTCATATTAAAATATTATAATTGTACTATAAGAACCAAATATCATCTAGAGCTCTCAGGTGAGTAATACAGTATGATTTTATGATCATACTGAATGATCCAAACCTTATCTAGGGAGCCCTTAGGTGTCATACAATATGATATATGATCATAAATTATGATATATGATCCTACAATATGATATATGATCACACAACTTGATCATTTTAAAATGAAATCTCCCCTCAATCATTGTCCTTCACAGTCAACTCAAAATTGGGAGGAAAATCGAACTTTAAATCCTCCAGTTGATAAACACTAGTGATTGTCACTTGATTGTCTATACAATTATTGATAGTCTTTAATGATTGTCAATGATATGAGCATGTGAAATCTAAAATTCCTTCAAATCATTAATCAAATCAAATCTGAGTCAAATCCATTGTCCAAATCTATTGAAAAATCAAAACTTTAAATTTAATGTTTAAATCCAAACCAAAAATCCCAGGTCCATAACGTGTTTTTGGAGAATTTTAATCACCTCAAAACCTAACTAAATGAACTTAGATTCATGATATGTCAATTGTATGTTGGTTATATATATATATATATATAGGCTTAACTCCATTAAGTTTCAGGTATTCTAGGTTCTCTAACTCCTTAATTTCAAAGCATTTCTGAAACTACAAAACCTTCAAAATATTTAAAACCTATGACACTAAACATAGCATGTTGTGGAATTTGACCTTGTAAGCTTCCCTAAATCTTTTGAGCATGATCATTTTCATTAGCATTATGCATTGAACAAACATTGAACCCTTGGTGGAACTTGGTTGACCACTGTTGATCATGAAGCCACCTAAATCCTAAACCTCAAAACCTCTTGAAACTAAAATTTCCTCAAACTTCAATATGGCTTAGTCAAACCAAACCCTAAAACCACTTTCAACATATTCCAAATATAATTTAGAGTGTATTGGACCTAAATCAAACCCATGGTAATCCTTGGTTAACCAAGTTAACCTTTTGGACAAAAAAGGCCTCTTTAGCCTTTAAAATTATATTTATGCATTCAAACACACCATTGCACAAAACCTACTTTAACATGTCCTAAACATCATTTGGAACATATTAGACTCAAACCAAAGTATTGGCCGACCATGGTTAACCAAGTCAACCTAGGTTGACCAAAAGGCCCCTTAAGCCTTTAAACTTACATTTCATGCTTGAAGATCTCACCAAACCATGGGACCACCTCCAATATGCTCATAATTATATTTGAAATTGATTGGATAAAATCCCAACCCCTATTCAACCTTGGTTGTCCAAAATGTCCCTTACACACTCAAACATGCATTTCAAACCAAATGACGTACCTCACCCATTACATGAAACTACCTCAAATAAGTCTAAAATATTATTTTGAATTTATTTGGATCATACCTAACCCTTGGTTAACCTTTGATGACCAAGTCAACCATGGTTATAAAAAAACACTTAAATACTTCAAAAATTCAAATTTAATAATTTTAATGAAATCAATGCATACAAACATATAAGGACTATCCATTGGGTCCCCAAGGGTCACCCAAAAAAGTTTCAACTGCTAGGCTCACCTAGTCTAGCCACATTGATTGAACTAAGTGAACATAAAGGAGTTTTTTGGAACAAAACTTAATCCATGTAAAGTTAAATTGACTAAATGGTTGCATCAAGTGTCCCTTGATCCCTGACACCTAACCTAACAAACCCGACCCAGATCAACTAATTAGGCTAACCCAAGCCTCTAAAAATCTAAATTCTTAAGCCCATTGGCAACCCATCACAAATAAGATCTTATAATTGGTTGGGATACTTTTTGAATCTTCATTACACATACTAGGTCAAGCCCATTGGTTGGACTACTGAGCTAGTAAGAATCTTCAAAATATCCCAATGATTGATTTAGTTATAACTTCACAAATAATTTAGCACATGATTTAAAATTTTTTGGGTGAGGTGTTTAGCTTATATTTGTTGGTTCATAATTTACTTGGCTTCCTTAGGTGGCATGTTCTTGACCACAATCAAGTGCATAGGTTTTTTTCTTTCTCCTAAAAATACCCCTATTTCTCTCTAATGAGGGGTTGGTTTATTGCATTCTTTAGCTTCATAACAACCCCTTAAGTACCTCAGAGCTCTCCCCAACCTTCTTCAGTTCCAGAATACTTTAATTGAGGTATTCAAAGGGTAAAATTATCCAATAAAAATATCGCTCCTTCTAGTGTATTTCAGACCTTAAGGTCTTCATGGAAGATCAAAGGACCTCTCTAGGAGTCCATAAATCCTAAGAATAAGAAGTAATAGAGGTATTTAAGCAACCCTTTTTCATAATCTTAAACTTAAAATAACTTTCTTAAAAACTAATTTTAATAGATTTCAAACACTCCCCTATGCTTTATCTAAGTATAAGGAAGTAATATTTCAAAATTCATCTCTTTTATATTAGTGTATAAGAAGTTATAATAATTCTTCCATTCTATTAAAATTTGTTCTGCATGAAAATTGCCTAATCTTAACTATCGGATCAT